ACAGCCCAGCACAGCCCAGCCCAGCCCAGCACAGCCCCAGCCCAGTACAGCACAGCCCCAGCCCCGTACAGCCCAGTACAGCACAGCCCAGCCCAGCCCAGCCCAGCCCAGCCCATTCAGGCAGAGCCCAGGGCAGTCTCCCGGCAGGCACACCCTGAGAGAGGTGGCTCCCATCCCCACCAGGGAAGGCCAGGAGGGTCTGGTGGAGCCGCTGAGGGTGTCCTGTTGACAAGGCCGCCAGGCATTTCACAGCCCAGCGATGCAGGTCGCACCCTGCATGCAAATGCCGCCCAGCGGGTCAGGGCTTGTCAAAGGCTTCACTCAGCAGCTGCTAATTGGCAGCGACCCCTGCAGCCGCCCCTACCCTCAGTGCTGCAGCTGCGCCTGACCCCAGCCTGGTCAGAGGCCTGGGGGGTCCCCCGCGGAGGCGGCCGCGGCAGGGTGCCCTTCTCTGGCTCGGAAATCCTGGTCCCGCTGCCTGTCCCGGTGGGAGCGCGTGGGCTGGGGCGGGAGGCCTGAGTTTCAATCCCACTGAAGACGCTGTGTGACCCGAGGCATCTTTGAGCCTCTCTGGGCTCATGTGTGACCGGCAGCCCACGGGAGCTGGACACGAGGGAGAAGGGGACCACCTGTGGGACCCCAGGCATGCTCCCCAGCCGAGCCGTCAGCAGGGAGGCCCTCTCTTCCCTTCACTCTGTGACCATAAACGTCCAGCTTGGAGGGGCTGCGGCGGGGGGCGGGGCGAGATGGGGCCTGGCGGCCCGCGGGCGGGGGCACAGGGCGGGGGGCACCGGGCCGCCTAGTCCGCGTTCCAGGCAGGCGTGAAGACCAGAGAGGCCTGAGCAGGTCTTCCCCTGAAGAGGGGGCTTCCCCTCAGGGCCGTCTGGCCCCCTTCCCCACCTGGAGGCGGGGCAGAAGCCCCTCCCCTCAAGACCCCTGACTCAGGGCCCCCTGAACGGACCCCCAGGGCCGCTAGCCGCCTCTGTGTGTGATGCCCTTGAAGTGAGGGTCTCCTGAGCGCCAATGGTTTATTACTCGGGTTTTCATGCACTGCTGCCTCTCCACTCCTCCCCCCTCCCTCTTCTCCTCCCCGCCTCCCCCCTCCCTTGCCTCAGTGCACCACCTGTCTCTCCAGCCTGCCCCTGCCTGCCTGTTACCAGGGAAACCACCTCCTTGGCAACCAGCCGGCTTCCATATGACATGTACGGGCGGGAAGGGAAGGCTCCTGACTCTCGCTTTGGCTGTTGGCGGCTCTGAAACCCCAAAGAGCAGCGTGTGCTCCTCGCGTGGGACCCAGGTGCCCGACAGAGCCTGAAGGAGGGTCTGGGCTGTGACCGCAGAGAGGGGAGGGAGGCATCCAGCCTCGCTTGACGATCGATCAACCGATCATCATTCGGTGGTCGTGAAGCACCTACTATTTGCCAGCCCCTGTGCTGGGCCCTTTACACACGATATCTCACTTAGTCATGCTTTGAGCCTGCGCGGTAAACATTATTCCCGACTCACAGATGAGGAAACAGACACGGAGAGTTTCAGGGGCTGCCCGGGGCCGGCACGGTGTCAGCGCTCAGAGCTAAACTTAGTCTCGTCTGATTGCGAAGCCTAGCTCTTCCTACCAGCCTGAGGCCTCCGATCAGGTGGCTCACAGCTAGGTCCAGAGTAACCCCCAAGGCACACCCCCCGGTGAGCACGGAGCCCCCCCATCATATCTCATGTGGTGCCAGTCTCCGAGTATGCCCAGCACGCTGTAAGCTCAGCGACCCAGGGACACACCAGGTGCAGCTTGATGGGAGAGGTATGTGATCCCAGCAGGTGCCTGAGTCATCCGTGAGCGCAGGCCATGGTGGGGGTGTCATAGCAGTCCCAGCGGGGTGGATGGGTGGCCAGGACCCCCATAGGCACAGGGGCTTTGGACCCAGAGAGTAAGGGCAGGAGGCCGGAGGGCATCCTATTAGAACCACGGCCATGGGTGTCATGGCTTGGACTGCTGGCAACCAGGCTCCGGAGGGCCTAAGGACAGGCAAGGGCCGTGAGAGTGGATCCGGGCCTCTGGTAGAAGCCTGGAGACCGCCCCCGCCCCCCCCCCCGGGCCAAGCACAAGACCATGCGAGGGTATGAGACAGGTAACAGGGGGCGCAGAGAGGAGTCGCCGTGAACAAGTGGGAAGGGCAAGGCGGTTCTGCGAGAGAGAGAATGGCAGGTGCAAAGGTACAGTGGTATGGCCGTGCATGATGTGGCTGGGCGAGACAGCTGTCCCCTCACAGGCTGTGGCCCAAAGGGCTCTGTTTCCTGGGCTCTGGCAGACAGGTATGATCATGCTGGGGGGGCCTGGGTGCTGGGACCCAGTCCCTGCCCCTCAGGTCACCTTCCTCTGACCCTTGCCCCCTCCCATAGACTCTACAGGGCAGAGACAGTGAAGTGTACTCCTGCATCCGGAACGTGCCCAGCAGCCTGCCTCCAAACCACAGCCTTGTCTCCCAGGTATGCATGGGGTGGGCCAGCGTGCCCGGCCCCTCCTCTTACCCCACGGGACCTTCTCATCTGTGAAATGGGGGTATATGGGACCACAGGAGTGAGCCTCTTGCAGTCAAATCAGAGCCTCTCCCCTAGGCAGGTGGCTTAGTGGCTAAAAGGACTAGAGGGTTTGAAGCCCTGCTCTGTCCCTAACCAGCCGCGCAGCCCTGGCCGAGGGGCTCAGCTCTGCCCCCGAATCCCTTCCTCTGTAAACTGAGATGCCTAACAGCACTCAGCTCACAGATTTGCCACGAGGGTCAGATGTTGTACTGGGGCCCAGGAGGCACTTTGCAGTGTGAGCAATGTCTACACTGGTCGATCAGGCAGGGGTTAGTAGGCTTCTAGCTGTCCCCGGGCTGACAGTCCCCAAGCTGATGTCCGGGCTAGTAGCAGCCTGAGCTGGCCTGGTCCGGGCTCTGTGTGCATCATGATGGGGTCCAAGGCATGTCACTCGATCATTATTCTTTTTTAAAAAAGTTTTTAACGTTATTTTGGAGAGAGACATAACATGAGCAGGGGAGGGGCAGAGAGAGGGAGACACAGACTCGGAAGCAGGCTCCAGGCTCTGGGCTGTCAGCACAGAGCCCGATGTGGGGCTTGAACCCACAAACCACGACATCACGACCTGAGCCCAAGTCAGATGCTCAACCGACTAGCCACCCAGGCGCCCGGATCATGAGTCTCTCTTAACCCTCAGTTTGCTCATCTGTAAACTGGATGAGTGACCCTTTCCTACAAAACCAACTACCCTGAATTCAAAGGAGTTCCGGGTTAAGTAATGTCTACACCAGAGCTTTGGGCATCATGAAGTACAAGGGGTGCATCAAGCCAGTAGAGGAGCCCATGGGTGGGGGGCGGGTCCACAGACATCCTGAATAGCCGTCAAGAAGTGAGGGGGCTGGAACTCGGCCTCCCCCAGCCCAAGGGGCCCAGGCTGGCATTGTCTGTTGATTCTCCTCCTCTTCTTCTTCTTCTTTTTTTTTTTTTAATATTTTTATTTATTTCTAGTAGAGAGAGAGAGAGACAGTGTGAGCAGGGGAGGGTCAGAGAGAGAGGGAGTCACAGAGTGAAACAGGCTCCAGGCTCTGAGCTGGCAGTCAGCACAGAGCCCGACGCGGGGCTCGAACACACGAACCGCGAAATCATGACCTAAGCGAAAGTCGGACGCTTAACGACTAAGCCCCCCAGGCGCTCCGATTCTCCTCTTCTTAACGCCTGTGCTACACTCAGCCCTGAACTAGGCCCTGACTGGAGCCTCGGGTCTGCAGAACAGTCACTGACAAGCAGGCATTTGCAGCCCCCTGTGAAGGGTGTGCTCTTGGGGGAGGGGGCTCTTGGGGACCCTGAGCCAAACCCTGCAGGGTGAGTAGGTGGTGGTCGGGGAGCTGGTGGGGTGGGGGAGCACCCAAGACAGAGGGAGGAGCATGGGGGGAGGCAGAAGGGCTGGAGGGCCGAGGGCAGGGGTGGGTGGAGGGGAGGAAGACTGGCGAGGTGGCCTTGGGGACAAGGACGGCCCTCCTTGTCAGAGCTGTTTGCCTCTCACTAAAACTGCATTGGTACAACTTTGTTCTCTCCCTACGATTGTTCTTTCCCTTTCTTCCTCTCTCTACTCCCCTCCTTCCCTCCTCCCGTCCCTGCCTCCCTCCCTCCCTCCTTTCCTTCTCTCCTTTCTTCCTTTCTCTCTCTCCTTCCTTCCTTCCTTACCTTCCTTCCTTCCTTCCTTCCTTCCTTCCTTCCTTCCTTCCCTCCTTCCTTCCTTTTGTTCTCCAGGAGAAAATGCACGGATTTACGGATGACAGCAACTTTAACCTGGTCTATGAAAATTTCTAGGATGTAGCACCACGGGCCCTTCGGTCTCACCCCGGACCAGATGCCCACAGCAGCCCCCCCTTCCACAGGACTTGTCCTGTACCAGGACTGAGGCCCCTGGGGCACCCCATCACCTTGCCCCCACATTCAAGGCGCTTCCGGTCCTCCTGTGTCCCAGCCAGACGCACTGAGCGTTTCACATCTGGCCTTTGCCCAGGCTGTCCCCGCTGGTAGCGGGCCCTTCCTCCATCGTCACGGGCTCTCTTCGACACAGCCCTTCCCCAAGCCGTCCCCGCCCTTTTCAAGATCCATGGGCTCTGGGAGCCCGCGGGGCCGGCTGTGGGCTCCTCGGGAAGTTCCCGGCAAGGGACCCCCGTCAGCTCTGTGAGCAGAGCATCCCTGGGGAAGAATAAAGGAACAGCTGCACAGATGCCCCACCTCCATGCTTCCTGCCCAACTAGGCCAAAGGCACAAGGCGGCCGCACAAAGTAGAGGAGGGGGCTGGCGTGGGAGGGAAGGGGTGTGGGCACGGGTGAGCTGTGCGGGGTGGGGGGGCAGGGCTCAGAGCCAGAGGCCAAGGAGGTGGCTGGGTGCCAGTCACCACGCTGGGGGCCTGGAGCAGGGAGGCTGAGGAAGGAGATACGGCACGTTTGGGGCAGGCAGATGCCGGGCCAACAGGCTGAGCCTCCAGAAGCTCTCCACCCCCCAAAGTTCTTTCCCATCGGCCCGGCCCTCTACATGCAGTGCTAACTGCTTGGTCACCCCTGCAGCCCTCCTCCACCCTGGAGGCCTCAGCGACTCCTCCTTCCGCCGAGCCCCCCTAAAGCCCCCCCCCATCTTGTCTGCCAGGACCCCACCCACCTCCTCCCTGCGTCTGCCCTGTGCACCTGCCCCAGGGCTTTGGGGCACCGCCACACGTGCTCTAGCTGAGTGGGTTGGTGCCTGGGGCTCCTTGGGCGGGAGGAGGGCCCCCCTGATGTGGCTGGAGCTCAGGCCCTGTGCAGACAGTGGCCCTCAGTACTTGCACAGAGCCGTTTCTGCGGCCCCAGTGCTCAGTTCTCCGGGTCATCAGCCCTGCTGAGACCTACCTCAAAGGCAGACGGGGGGGAGGGGGGCTAAGGACGGGATCACAGGGCCCATCGGGCTCCCTCCGTCCCCACTGCTCTCCACCATCTCATCTGTAAAACCCTCTCTCCACCCCCATACTGTCCCCAGAAGTCCTTGAGGGGCCCTTGCACACAAACCCCAAACATGTCTAGGGATGGTGGGGGGCCCAAGGCACAAGCCCCGGCCCTGACCCCGAACAGTACTGGGCAATTTGTAGGCAGCACCTTGTATTGCAGGTCAGGCCCCTCCTTCAGGGTGGGAGGGGGTGGTGGGAGAGGGGAAACACCGGACGACATAGAAAGAAATCCCAGCCCCTCTGCAAGGCTGGCCCCCAGCCTCCTTGGGCCCACAGGACGGGGCAGCCCGCAGCCTCCCGGCTTGGTTCTGAGTCTGGTCTATGAGCACAGCGCGAGGAAGGCTCTGAGCCGGATTATAAGGCTGAGTGGAGAGGGCTCTGCTCACCAGGAGGCTGGAGTTGAATGAATTCCTTACCTGTTCAGGGGGTGAAGCTGCCTGGAGCCGAACTGCCTTCCAGGCGCCAGACTCCAACAGCCTGCAACAGAGGCCTGGGTTGGAGGGGGTGTGAGGGGAGACATGCTGGGGGGAGGGGAGGCATGCTGGGGGGAGGGGAGGCATG